CCCTCCCAGCCTGATCGTTAGCAACTCCTTTGTCTGTCCAACTGTCTCTCTCTCTCACTCTCTCTCTTTGGGCTCTATCTTTATCGTTTAGTCCCTACCCCACCCACCTCCCTATTTTCTGTATATAAACTGACGTTTTCCCAGCCACCATCAGTTCTGAGGAAGGGTCACCGGACCCGAAACGTTAACTCTGTTTTCTCCTCCACAGATGCTGCCAGACCTGCTGAGCTTTTCCAGCAACTTTGTTCTTGTGACCAAATATTCAAGTTGGATTGCGGACAAAGTTTCCTTCGCAATCAGTTATCACTTGCTCAGAATGGAACGTAGTTGCTATTCTTCATATAGCACCTCCTGCTTCTAGGGGAGGCAATGGCCTAGTGGTATTTTGGCTAGACTATTAATCCAGAGACCTAGTCGATGGTCTGGGGACCTGGATTCAATTCCCACCATGGCAGCTGATGGAATTTGAATTCAATTTTTTAAAAAATCTGGAATTAAGAATTTAGTGGTCTAATGATCGTGAAGCTGTTGTCAAATGTTGGAAAAACCCATCTGGTTCATTAATGTCCTTTAGGGAAGGAAACTGCCATCTTTACCAGATCTGGTCTAAATGCAACTCCAGACCACCAGCAATGCGGTTGACTCTGAACTGCCCTCTAGGCAATTGGGGATTGGCATTATGCTGGCATACATTCTGTGAATGAATTTAATAAACAAGCTAGAGTGTGTCTGAAACTGGTGCTGGCTAATGTGCAATGAGTCAACAGTTGATATTTTAATCAATGGTGTAACATTAAAAGTTGAATTCCATTTTTGTCTGGGTAAATGACTAACTTTGTTGGAGTGTGCCTTTGAAAATCAAACCGAACAAAATAACTGAGTTTTAGTCCATAAATGCATTTCCCATATGTTTGCATTTCAAATCTTCTTGACTTAACAATGGATTAAATTGAAGCAGGAATTGTAAGAATGGTAGCTTTAGTTATGGCATTAGGTTCAACAGCAGACTTTGAAAGCTATCATTGCAAGTTCTGAAATTGAGCAGATAGTGGAAGAAAAATGAAAGTTGCTTGATTAGCCTAACAACTTACTACTTCAATAGTATTCTCCAGGGACAGCCAATTGTTTATCAGACTAACATATTTTAACTTCTGACATTGAGCTATTCTGTAATGAGCAATAAGCTACATCCTCAAAACGTTCTTTCAAAAAGAATAGTTTTGGCCAGTATATTTTCTACCTCCTAGAAATTTTCCATATTATGTTGAAAAAAGAATATATTAGAAAACGAAATGTGTATATTCATCTGAGTAGGTCCTCAAGCCTACTGTGCCATTTAATAAGATGGTGTGACTGATCAGATTCCAACCTTAAATCCACATTTTGGCCTGATAGCCTTTCATCCCTTCACTTACCAAGAATCTAACTACTTCTACCCTAAAAATTTTGAGACACACCTTCCAATGCCTTTTCAAGGAGAGTGTTCTAAAGATTAATTACACTTTATGAGAAAAAACACTCACCCCATTTCTGCTTAAATGGGTGACACCTTACTGTAAAGGGTGACCTCTAGTTCTAGATCCTCCTGTAGAGAAGAAGCGTTTTCTCCACATCTTCCCTTCAAGACCCCTCATAATTTTGTGTTTCAATAAAGTTGCCTCTTGCTTTTCTAAATTCTAATGGCTACAATCCTAGCTGATCAGCCCTTTCCTCATTGGACAACCCATCTATTCCAATTATTTATTTGCCACAATCCCTCTGGACTGTTTCCAGTGCATTTACATCCGTCCTTAAATAATTGGACTAGCCAGGATAAATGCAGGAAGGATGTTCCTGATGACCAGAGAGTCCAGACCCAGATATCACTGTCTAAGGATACAGGGTAGGCCACTAGGACTGACATGAAGAGAAGTTTCCTCACCCAAAGAGTAGTGAGCCTGTGGAATTCTCCGCCACAGAAGGTGGTTGAAGCCAAAACGTCAAATGTTTTCAAAAAGTTGTAGTTCTTAGGGCTAAAGGGATCAAAGAGTATAGGGAGAAAATGGGAGCACTGTTATGATACATCTCTGGAGCAGTGGGACTTGAACCTAGGCCTCCTAGTCCAGAGGCAATGACATTACCACTGTGTCCCAATATCCTTGGGTAGAAGTTCATATTGTTTAGAATCACTTTCTTCTTTGTTCGGTCTGCCTATTTAGTCATTATTGTCTTTTGTTTTGTTCACGTTTGCTGAATAAAGATTCTTTGGGTGTTTTGGTTCAATCCTGTTTTCCTCTTACCCTCGGTGCATCATATTCTTCAAAATTACTGCGGTCTGTCAATGCAGTTATAAATGTCTATTTGGTAGGCCTGTTATTCTTACCACTGGTGTCAGATTGTTCATCGTTGGTGAATTGCAGGATACTAAGTAGTATGTAACACAGGTCAGAAGGGTACAATTAATAGGAATGTGTCAAATGGATTATTTAATAGAATTTGATGTTATGCCATTCCTCTTGGGAGCTAATATTTGAGTGACTTCAAAGCAAGATAATGTACCTTGGAATACTCTCTCCCACACTCTCTCTCTCTCTTCCAAAAAATTAGGATAACGTGTTAAACATAATTAATCAGATCATGCAGGAATGCATCCCAAATGAACGGGCAAATCGGGATTTCTGTGTCAAGTTTCCAGAGGAAATACGGCATGATAATCTGGGAGGACAACTTTGGTTTGGAGCAGAGGTAAGTTGTTTCCAGAACTTCATCTTAGTTATTAAACGTTAATAAAATACTTGCTGACTGTTTCTGTATGTATGAGCCAATGTAGTTTGTCTAGAAAGTACACACACGCTGAGTGAATAATGGCTTAACCAACAGTTGTGGAGACGAGTTAGGAGCAGGAATAGACCATTCAGCTTGTTGAACGTACAGTACTGTACTGTTCTGTGACCATGGCTGGCTTTGGGCTTCAACTGCAGCTTTCTGCTAGCTGCCAATTTTCTGAGACAAAAATCTGTCTATCCCAATCTTAAATTTGGTCAATGATGATGTATCCTCTGGGGTAGAAAATTCCAAAGATTTGCAACCATTCAAGTGAGAAACTTCTAATTTCAGCATGAAATGACAGACCCTTTATCCTAAGAGTCTGTCTGAGTTATAGATTCCCAAGACAGTGAAGCCGACCTTTCAGTCACCCTGTCCAGCCCCTTCAGAATCTGTATCTTTCACTGGGATCAGCTCTGTCCTCTTAAACTCCAGAGAATACTTTGTTTCCTATCCATTAACCAAGCCTCTCCAGAATAATGTAATACCTCTAAATCCATAAAGCTTCATTTTACCTGTTGTGTAATACCTTTCTCAAATGATTCTGATGTCCAGATAAACCACATTTAATAGTTTGCCTTTGTCTTTCTATCCTACTAGTTATATCCTCAAAAAGGTATTACATTTGCCAACTTAGAAACTAGTGGGAGATTTCCAGAATCTAGGGGAATTTTGAAAGTGATCATGCATGTATTATCTGTACAGCTTTTCTTTGTGAGAACTTTAGGATTAAGACATCAGATCGAGAGAATTAGTCCAAATTTAGCCCCTTGAGTTAGTCCAGTTCTCGTTCCTCCACTGCTGATTTTTGAAAAAAACGCAATCCTAAAACTTCCTATGTTTCATTACAGCAATAAAACTGTCCTTATCAAAGTGAGCCACAGATGGAACTTTTTTGCAAAGTTCTTTTTGTGATAGGTTTTTTTTTTGAATATTTTCAGTTGTCTTTAAAATGGTTCCCACTTTTGACTTTTGGTGGTGCTTTTAAGTATATTTACTATTCAACAGTAGCCAGTTCAAACCACTGCCCCCACCTCCCCCTTCCCCACCTCCTCCCAAACTATCAACCTCATAGAATCTAGGACCAGTGGGTACAGTCTGAGTCAGGGGGCACACATTTAAGACCAAGTTAAGGAGGAATTTCTCCTCACTCTGGAATTTCTTGACCACAGGGTTGTTGAGGCTGGATCGTTAAGTATACTTAAGATTGAAAGAGATTTTTAATTAGGAAGTGAATTGAGGGTTATAGGGAAAAGGCAGGAAGGTGGAGTTGTGGAGTATGATCTCATTGAATGGTAGATCAGATTTAATAGCCTGAACGGCTTAGTCAGGCATACAGCATGGAAACAGACTCTTCGGTCCAACTAGTCTGCGCCGATCATGTTCCCGATCTAAACTAGCCCCATCTGCCTGCATTTGGCCCATTTCCGTCCAAACCTTTCCTTTTCATGTACTTATTCAAATATCTTGTAAATGTTGCAACTGTTCCTGCATCCACCACTTCCACACCCAAACCACTCTGTAAAAATAATTACCCCTCATATTTTTAGTAAAACTTTCTCCTCTCACCTTAAAAATATGCCCCCTAATTTTGTACTCTCCCACTCTTGGGAAAAGATCCATGTCATTAACCTTATCTGTGCCCCTCATGATTTTATAAACCTCGAAGACACCCGCAACCTCCTATGCTCCAGTGAAAAATGTCCCGGCTTATCCAGCCTATTCTTTATGACTCCAATCCTCCATTTCTGGCAACATCCTGGTAAATATTTTCTGAACACTCTCTAATTTAATAGTATCCTTCCTATAGCAGGGTGACTGGGACTGCACACACTACTCCAGAAGAGGCCTTGCCAAACTGTCCTGTACAACCTCAATATGACATGCCAACTCATACACTCAATGTTCTGAGCAATGAAGGCAAGTGTGCTAAACACCTTAACCTGTCTACCTGCGACGCAAATTTCAAAGAATTATGTACCTGAGCCCCTAGGGGTCTCTGTTCTACAATACTCCCCAGGGCATTACCATTAATTGTGTAAGATCTGCCCTTGTTTGTTGTACCAAAATGTAATACCTTGCATTTATCCAAATTAAACTCCATCTGCCACTCCTTAGCCTATTGCTCTGTAATCTGAGATCTTGATCAATTGGGTCAATGAGCTAAGGAGTGGTAGATGGAGTTGGATAAATGATACATTCTGCTCCTGGTCTTGTATCTGTGCAACTGGCTTCGTTTATTTTGAGATTCTTTGTGACTAGAGTATGTCACCTACAAACTTGATGAGGAATTCAGTTGTACCATGATCACTAGTGACCAATGGATCATCAATAAAATTACTTATTAACTTTGCCTCATTATGTACTATTAGTCCTGAAATCTTTATTCCTCGTCAGCCCCATAGTGTGTTGCTCTGAGGGAAACTGTCACAAGAACATTGTACAAACTGAACTACCAGACCACCTTTGCCAAGTCTCCATGAAAATTGAAGTCCCTCACTGTTGCTAGGTTGTGCTCTGTCAACTATGTAACTACTATTAGGGGACCCATATTCCCACCAATATGTTCTGACCTTTTGCTATGCTTAATCTCCATCCATGTTCTTCATCCTCCCGATCTTTTAAACCAAGGTGCTTCCTCATTTGAAGTCTACATGCTTGCTCTTCACCACCATCTAACCCCTACACACCTGCCACACATCCACAATTCTTTAAATATTGTGTAACCTGGAAAACTTATTTACCAATTAGATCATCATATGACTTCTTGAATGACGATTCAATCTAAACTGTTTATTTACATTTGCACCCCTGGTTCATCTATCTTGTTGGTGCTTGGTGCATTCAAATAAACAGTCAAATTTCATTTTTTTTCACTGCCATTTCTTGCATCTATTATAATTTGCTAAGATGGTGGCACAATGCTAATATCACTGGGCTAGGCTAGGATAATGCTTTGGGGTCATGTTTAAAACCCACCTCAACAGCAGGTGGAATTTAAATTCCAATTGATCAAAAAAGAATCTGGAATTGGAAGTTATTCTCTGAAATAGTGACCTATGACAGCCTACCATGCATTGCTTCTTTTAAAAAAAAAACCTGGAATAATCAAATAAGAAATAGCATTATTGAAATCTGTCCCTTCCAGTCACAGTCGGTTCATTTGTACCCATGTTGCTACAGTAACCCGTGCTTCAACTTTACTGTTTGTTTGGATTTTAATTCTCTCTCTACCTGAATGCTACTTCCACGCCCCCCCCCCCCCCCCCCCCCAACTCCGTTTTAACGGCCTATTCGTAGCCCTAAAGGCATAGTATGCATTTCTGGTAGAAAACTAGAGTTTAACTAAATGGCTGGAATATTTTTAAGGTGATAACAGAATTAGGATCGTTAGGATAATGCTGTTGATATGTACATATTCTTCCAAAAGGTGTTTGGACACGTTACCACACGAGACTTGATGGAAGTTTTCGGCTATGGAACAAAAGAGTCAGTAACAACACTGATTTTTAAAAAAAAAAAAAAAAAAAATTGGCTCAAGGATAGGAATCTATAGTTAATGAATTTTTTTGGGCTGGAGGGACCTTTGTAGTGGAATTCCCACAATATACCCTTGCTTTTCTTGATGCATAGTAAACAAATGGACACTAGTATGTAGGGCATCCCTGAGGATATCTTCCAGGTTTGCAGGTGATAGTAAACTTGAAAGTATTGTAACAGGTGAGGAAGACCACTTAGAACTCCAAAAGCTACAGACAAGTTTGTGGAGTAATCATAGAGATAACAGATGAAATTCAATGCAGAAAATATAAGATGATGTGTTATAGAGTTGCAGATAATCAAAGCTTTTATAGTATACAAAGAGCGTGACCTCCCCATCCCCATTGCACCCCACTGACTGAATAGAGTTCACTTGATGAAAGAGTTCTCCAACTGGGGCTATAGCCATTGAAAATAATTAGCTCATCATGTAATTCACTAACTGTTAGTGCAGGGTTCCTCAGCCATAACGGGAGCTCAGACATTGCAGTTTAACCCCAAATTTAGCAGTATAATATGGGTTAAAACATCACCAATCCAATAACATGTTGCACTCTGGTGACATGGGATTTCACATTGTTCCCACAATGAATTTCTAGATGGCAATAACTATTTGTTTGATTGGAGTTAATTGGTGTAAATTTGCCTTCCAGTTCTTCTTTTCCATCACCTCTCAACCCTTTCTTCTAATCATGTCACCTTGAATTAGTCTATTCCAGTTTTAGAATGCAAAACATGTGTTACATAACGTTTTCAAGATTAAGCTGTGGATGTATTTTGGTGTGATTAATTTGCTGGATATTTGTCAATCATTGTGTGATTATGTTCTAATGGTTCCAGTTTCTGTCCAGTAGAGAACTCAACTACTGTGAAAATCCAGAAGGATGTAATGCAATGACAGAAACAGCAGTAAACTTTCATTTAAGATCATTGCAATATTTGTGCTTATCATGACAAATAAAGTGTTCATTTCTCTTAATTCCAGTGTTTAGCTGCTGGTTCAATTATCATGAACCGAGAAATAGAGAGCATGGCAATGCGACCTTTGGCCAAAGACTTAACCCGCAGCTTAGAAGAAGTGCGAAATGTTTTCCGTGACCAGTGCCTGAGAGACTTGAATGTCTATACTGACAAAATGAAGGAGTCCCTCAAACAATTTGATGGCTTGTTTGCAGAATTTGAACTATGGTAACAAATCTTCATAAACGCACCCTTTACAAGTTTTCCATGTACTAAATTTTTGTGTGTGCTGATGTATCTTTTGAATGAAACTTGTCCTCCCGCATTCCCATTCTAATTTTCACTCAGGCAAGATGTGAAGAAAGTTTTATGTTTGGGTTGAACAATTTGAATTCATTAAGGGAATCCTGCATTTGTGTGTGTGTATAGGTTTTTAGAAGCTGTTCCACAAGATCCCTTAACAAAATTTCAGGTGAGTGGTTAATAAAGCTAAATGTAACAGCATGACCAGGAACTTGACTGATGATGGGTAAAGACTGCAGAAAGCTTTAGAACAAAGGGATTTGTAAGTGCAAATCTATGAATTACAGAAAGCCAGCATCCAAGTTCAGTGGGTAATAGAGAAGACAAATAGAATATTAGCCTTTATTTCAAAGGGAATGGAGTATAAAAACAAACAAAAACAGAAATTGCTTGAAGAATCATCTATGGCAGCATCTATGAGGAGAAAGGGTTAGCGTTTTGAATCCAGTGATTCTTCATCAGAACACTTGTCGCGAGAGTTGAAATGTTAACTCTCCCTTCACCCCACTGGTGCTGCCAGACCTGCTGATTTTTGTCCAGCAATTTCTATTTTTGTCACTGAATGTTGTGACCTATGTTTTCTAAATGCATGTTCTCTCTAACTGAGTTAGATGAAAGGTAAAAGACACAAGGTAGAATGGCAAAGAAATGAAATTATAGAAGCATTTGAGCCCATTATAGATAGAGCATCAAAGGCATATACTGTGCAGCCTAGATGCATTAGGATAATTCCTGCGCTTAGAAAATTTATACTTGGAATGGGACAGTTGTGATAATGGGGGTAATTCTACCGGAGTAGCAAATGATAACTTGTGTTCTGGAAGATTTTATCAGGGGTTGCGGGAAATGCTACTTCCTCACTTAGGGTCACCAATTTTAAATTAGCACGGATGCAAAATGAAATTAGGTTATTAATTAGATTAGGGATAGTTCGAGCATGCCTACCTACTTGATAGTGACTATGAAGCTGCTTCAATTATAAAAACCCACTTGGTTCACTAATGTCTTTTATCAAAGGAAAAGCTGCCATCCTAGCCTCGTCTGACCTACATGTGACTCCAGAACCATGGCAGTATCTTTGCTTTTGAATGCCCTCTGAAATGGCCCACAGAGACATTCAGTTCAATGGCAGCGAGAGATGGGTGACAAATATTGGCCTTGCCAGTGAAACCTGCATCCAAAGAAAAAAATGAAAAGAACATAAGAACATAAGAACTAGGAGTAGGAGTAGGCCATCTGGCCCCTCGAGCCTGCCCTGCCATTTAATAAGATCATGGCTGATCTTTTTGAGACTCAGCTCCACTTACCCGCCCACTCACCATAACCCTTAATTCCTTTACTGTTCAAAAATTTATCTAGCCTTGCCTTAAAAACATTCAGCAAGGTAGCTTCAACCGCTTCACTGGGCAGGGAATTCCACAGATTCCCAACCCTTTGGGTGAAGAAGTTCCTCCTGACCTCAGTTCTACATCTGCTTCCCTTTATTTTGAGGCGATGCCCTCTAGTCTTAGTTTGCTAGCGGAAACAACCTCCCTGCCTCCACGTTATCTATTCCCTTCATAATCTTATATGTTTCGATAAGATCTCCCCTCATTCTTCTGAATCCCAATGAGTATAATCCCAGTCTACTCAGTCTCTCCTCATAATCCAACCCTCTCAACTCTGGAATCAACCGAGTGAATCTCCTCTGCACCCCCTCCAGTGCTAGTATATCTCTTTTCAAGTAAGGAGACCAAAACTGCACACAGTACTCCAGGTGTGGCCTCACCAGGACCCTATACAGCTGCAGCATAGCCTCCCTGTTCTTAAACTCCATCTCCAAGAGGGAGAAGAAACTTTCTTGATATAATGGAGGAGCCTGAAAAGCTTAATCAAGGGGTTCTTTTATTTGACAAAACATATGAATAATTGAGGTAGAGAAAGATCAAGGGCTCTGAGAGTGAGCAGACCAGTGAAATGGTTTGATCTCTTTCCTGGCACAAACACGTTGGCCTGAATTACTTTATGTTCTGTTGTAAATGTCTGTGACTCCAGGAAAGGCAATCATGCACTTGCAAACCTTTTGTCATGAATGTTGACATTCTGGGAAATAAGTGAGAGCATAACAGCGGAGTCTGATGCTACCACGTGAATGAGTTGTTATTGAAAAGATTGTAAGGAATCAGAAGCAAAACCCGGCTTCAATCTCTCTTCCACCACCACTGCCCAACCCCCACAAAAAAGAAAATCAATCCCTGAAATGTTATAATGATCTCTGATTTAAGTTTATTGGAGACATAAGTTGTTTGATCTTAACAGATAATCTGTACATTAACCAAATCAACTATGATTCCACAAATAATTTATAAAAGGTCAAATTAAATTTGAAGGTCAGCTGTTGGCTGCTTCGTTCAGAACTTGTGGTTTGATTTGACTTGTATCAGCAAAGTTTCAATCACGTGCTTGGCTCATTTAGGTAATATTCTGTCTGCAGTATTTATAAATTTGCAGTGGTTTCTCTTTTTCTGTTTTGAGTTGCATGAATATGGATTAGTAGAGTTTGAATTGAAATGATCCTTTACTTAACTTTGTCATGGGATTTAATCCTCAGTGGTGTCAGATTTTGACAGCAATCTAGTTAACTGAAATTGAACCAAATGTGTATGGAAGTGGAGTCAAACCTATATAACTGAATATGCTCAAACAACGGGTACCAGCAATGATAGAAATGTAACTGACAAGCACAAATAACTTGCACTTTAACAGATTTACACTACCCCCTTGAAACCAGAGTGTACACAAATTACAAACTATAGGCAGCTTTCAAGCTGTTAACACCACACAGATATGTTCAATGGTAGTGGGTTTAAACAAAAATTGACTTGCCCAACATCTACAGCAGGAAGAAAATCTTTTGATTTCTGAGATTAAATGCTTTCACAGCATTCACAGCTTTGGAGAGATTTCTCTGCTCCCATGGATTCTGGTAATATGTCTCAATCACACAAAAACTGTGAATTGTCAGTTAGAAAGGAGTTGAGAATTGAGCATTGGCATCATAATTTGGGGGAGTTTTAAAGCAATGCTTTGAAAATTTAAGACACTGCAAATATGGACACCTGATGCACATACTTTTGGTGTTTGATTTCCAAGTGGTATTATAGAAATAGCTATTCAGAAATCCTTAAGCCAGTTGTAGCTAAGCATTGATGGTTGGCATAGAATCTTCCCATTCACCTTGGTGGGGAAAACGCAATGACATAAATCACCCAACATAAAATCCATTCTTTGTTTTATGAAAGCTCCTTCAACTGCCAACTGATCTGAACGTTCCAAAATGTCTTATCCCTGCAATTAATTGGCCTATTTTCTGATGCATCTGCAACAGTAAACTGCCTCAGTTTTGGTTTGATTCAAAGGTGAATTTGAATTCACTTACCAACACCATTGGACATCATAAGAGGGAATTGCAGTATCATAACCTATATTTCATATGATTTTGGGTTTCTTTCTCGTGACCTGTTTAATATGAAACCTGTTATGCCAATTTTGACTTGTCTTTCAGTTATGTCTCTGCGATGGTACCTGTGAAATCTCCTAAAGAATACTATGTACAGCAAGAAGTCATTGTTCTCTTCTGTGAAACTGTTGAAAGGTGAGATTTGAAAATTAGTCCCTTTAAGTTTTCGTTTTATTTTTACATGATATGATTATACTTTAGGTTAAAAATAGAATGAGATTTGTTTGTTTGTTTGTTTGTTTATTACTTGTTGAAAGAATTCAGCCTAAACCTGATGAAAGATTTATTTTTCTCTTTATTTTTTCCATGGGATGTGGGCATCTCTGACAAGAGCCAGCATTTTGTTGCCCATCCTAATTGCCCTTGTACTGAGTTGCTTGGTAAACCATTGTAGAAGTCACTTCAGAGTCAACTGTATTGCTGTGGTTTTGGGGCTTTTTGTAGGAAAAGATTGAGGGTGTCAGATTTTTTCCCGAAAATTCATTACTGAAGATAATGATAATTGATCATTTAATATTCACCATACTTTCAATTCTAGATTATGCCAGTTCAACTTAAATTGGGTTCACTGAGCTGATTCTGTGTCAAAAACAAATGAAAAAGTTAGGTCTTTATTCATGAGAGTTTAGAAGAATTAGGTGTGATCTTATTGGAATATACAAGATTCTGAAGGGGTTTGTTGGGTTCAGTTGTTGAGAAGATGACTCGTGGGGGAATCTAACTAGAGGACATAGTTACAGTATAAGGGGACACTTAAATAAAACTAATGTGAAGGAATTTCTTCTCTGAGGGTATTGAATGTTTGGCATTCTGTATTCCAGAGAGTTGTGGAAGCTAGAATGCTGAAAGAATTTAGATCTTTGAAATATCAGGGAGTTGATGGCTATGCTAAGCTGACACAAAAGAGGAATTGAGGCCTGGGGTAGGTCAGTCATGATTGTAGCAGGTTTGAGAGGGCCAAATTGCCGCCTACTGCTCCTGTTTCTTATGTTCTTGTGTTCTGATGTTCTAATGTTCTGCCAACTTTTGTGATTGGGGCCTGAATTTGTCCCCAGAGCATCAGGCTAGTCTCTGGTTTGTTAGCTGAGTGACACTACTACTCTACTGCTATCTCCCTGCAATTAGAATACATTCAAACAATTGACTCTTAAAACTACTTATCATTGTAGCAGTTAAATATGCACTGTGTACTTTCAGACATACTACCTTTATTAAAAAAAATGCATTCGCAAATGTTTAAATACTTTGGCAGGGGTAGTTCTGTGTTCTTCTTCCTAGAGGTTGAGTGAACACTTGATCAACTGTGCACTTGTGCTGTGTGACAATTGTGGTCAATAATTTAACATACTATTTTGAGCACTTAATTGGTCTTAGTTTGAACTTCAGCTGTTGCTAAAGTAACAGGCGACCTTGTGATGAATGCATTGTGTTTGAAATAATGGTCATTGGGTTTCTTAATTGGAAATCATTTGCAGGATCATGATTTGAATCATGTGCATAAAGAACTAGATAATAGACAAGTGAGTTACTTAACGCACTGCATATCAAAAACTAGAAAGTGTAAGTATAAAATGAGTATCAGAAAAACAAATGAATGAAGTAGGTTCTTTGTTTACTGTCCTTGCTGTCCTTAACTTGGCTAACATTAATTGGAATGGCTTTTGTGTCACGGTGATTCAATGGTTCACCCTGCTACCTCAGCACCAGGGAGAGAGGTTCGATTCCAGTTTCGGGCAGTTGTCTGTGTGGCGTTTGCACATTCTCCCCATGTCTGTGTGGGTTTCCTCCGGGTGCTCCAGTTTCCTCCCACAGTCCAAAGATGTGCTCGCTAGGTGGATTGGCCATGCTAAATTGCCCATGTATCCAGGGATGTGTAGGTTGGGTGGAATATCCATGGGAAATGCATGGTTACAGGGGTAGGGTAGGGGGATAAGTCTGGATAGGATGCTGTTTGGAGGGTTTGTGAGGAACTTGAGCCAAATGGCCTGCTTCCACACAGTAGGGATTCTATGGATTCTATCGTAGTGTGAAAGTATTGGATGGGGTGGAAGTTTTGAAGTACATCCAGGAGAGCATTTTGTGCCAGTACATAGATAGTCCTACTAGAGATGGGACGGTTCTGGACCTAATCCTAGGAAATGAAGCTGGTGAAGTGGTTGAAGTCAGTGGGCAAGCATTTTGGGGATAGTGACCACTATTCTTGGTTTCAAAGTTATTATGAAAAAGAATAAGGATAGTGCAGAAGCTAAGTGCCTAAACTGGGGAAGGGTGATCTCAATATACAATATCCTTTTTATTTTCAGGTGTGCCCCGTTGTAGGAGTACAGTGAAAAACTTTGACAATGTCTGCCGCCTTATGGTGACATCTTAGTACCTATGTACAATTCTTGGATACAGCAGAGGGATAAAAGTAGTTGCTTAATTACATACTTGAAAATGAGTTAAAAAATAAGAATATATTAAGGGGTTAACATTACAGTGTTCTAAGATAAGGATTGTCCCCTCACTGGTCTCTGTCCAGGACTTGCTGGCTGCCTGCCTGCTGCTGCAGGGTGGCTTCTCCGCCCTGCTCCAGGCTTGTGGCCCACGTGCTGCTCCAGGTTTCATTGCTCATGGTGTTCTGGGGCTCACGGGGCGTGCCTGCAGGTCCCCGAACGCAAGGCTATGCTGCGACACTCTGGTTTTCCATGGGCCTCGGCCTGGTGCGGGTCTTAGCTTGTTCCATTAGACAGGATCAGGCAAATGTAGATTAGAAGCAGCTATTTGCAGGTAAGTCTATGTTTGGAAAGTGGAAGTCTTTTAAAAATAGTATAGTGATAATTCAGGGCCAGCATGTTTCTCTAAGAATGAAGGGAAAGGGCTGCAAGTCAAGGGAACCCTGGAATTAAAGGAATATCAAGAATTTGATCAAGAGAAAGAAGCAAGTATGTTTCCGATACAGTGCTTTAAGAACAAGGGGGACCCTTCAAAAGTATTGGGTGTAGGAGTTACTTAAAAAGGAAATTCAGAGGGCAAAGAGGGCCACCAAATATTTGGCAGATATGACCAAGGAAAACCTCAAGGTGTTTTCTAAGTATATCAAGATTTAGAGGATTATTAGGGAAATAATGGGGTCTGTTAGAGACCAAAGGGACAACTTGGGTATACAGCCAGTGGAGATGGGTGAGGTCTTAAATATTTCTCATCTATATTCAGAGGTGAAAGACATTTAGCTGGGGATTTCGTTTGGGATGATGAGGTTCTTGAACACGTTAGCCTAATTGAGATTGTGTTAGATGTCTTAGTGGGCATACAAGTGCATAAAGCCCTAGCACCTGATAAGATGGCTCCCAGGCAGCTATGGAAGGCAAGGGAGGAGGCTGCTGGGGCCCTGGTGGAGGTATTTAAACCTTTGGCCATAATGAGTCAGAGTTATTACAGATATACAGCATAGAAACGGGGCCTTTCATCCAACTTTTCCATGCCAACTAGATATCTTAAATTGATTTAGTCGCATTTGCCAGCATTTGACCCGTATCCCTCTTAAACCGTTCGTATTCATATACCCATCCAGATGCCTTTTAAATGTTGTAATTGTACCAGCCTCCACCACTTCCTCTGGCAGCTCATTCCATGCATGCACTACCCTCTGTTTGGAAAAAAGTTGTCCCTTAGGTCCCTTTTAAATCTTTCCCCTCTCACCTTGAATCGAAGCTCTCCAGTTCGGGACTCCCCCACCCCGGTGAAAACACCTTGGCTACTCGGCCTGTCTGTGCCCCTTGTGATTTTATAAACTCTAAGGTCACCCCTTTGTCTCCGACGCTCCAGGGAAAATAGCCCCAGCCTATTCAGCCTCTCCCTATAGCTCAAACCCTAGTAATGTCCTTGTAGATCTTTTCTGAATCCTTTCAAGTTTCACAACATCTTCCCTACAGCAGAGAGACCAGAATTGAACACAGTATTCCAAAAGTGGCCTAACCAGTGTCCTGTACAGCTGCAAGATACCTCCCAAATCGACCAATAAATGCAAGCATTCCAAACGCCGCCTTCACTGTCCTGGCTACCTGCGACTCCACTTCTGAGGAAATGTGAACCTGTACTCCAAGGTCTTTTTGTTCAGCAACACTCCCTAGGACCTTACTGTTAACTGTATATATCCTGCCCTGATTTGCCTTCCCAAAATGCAACATCTCACGTTTATCAAAATTAAATTCCATCTGCCACTCCTCAGCCCATCTGATTAAGTTCCTGGTGTACTCTGAGGTAACTTCTTCACTGTCCACTACATCACAATTTTGGTGTCACCCGCAAACTTAGTAACCATGCCACCTATATTCACAGCACTGATCCTGTGGCACACTGCTGGTCACAGGCCTCCAGTCTGAAAAGCATACTTCCATCACCACCCTCTGTATCCTACCTTTTGAGCCAGTTCTGTATTCAAACGGCTAGTTCTCCCTGTATTCTGTGATCTAACTGTGCTAACCAGTTTACCATGCGGAATCTTGTTGAACGCCTTACTGAAGTTCACATAGATCACGTCCACCACTCCGCCTTCATCAATCCTCTTCGCTGCTACTTCAAAAACTTCAATTAATTAGTAAGACACGATTTCCCATGCACGAATCCATGTTTAATATCCCTAATCAGTCCTTGACTTTCCAAATACATGTAAATCCTGTCCCTCGGGATCCCCTCCAACAACTTGCCCACCACGAATATCAGGTTCACTGGTCTACAGTTCCCTGGCTTTTCTTTATCACATTTCTTAAATAGTGGCACAGGATTAGTGAATCTCCAGTCTTCTAGCACCTCACCTGTGACTAGAGGATAGCTAACATAATTCCTTTGTTGAAGGGAGGCAGCAGGGGTAGGACAGGTAGTTACAGACCAGTTAGTCTAATATCAGTGGTGGGGAAATGTATTGGCAAGGGTTCTGAAGGACAGAATTAATCAATACTTGAAAAGGCAGGGATTGATCAAGGTTAGCACGGATGTGTTAGAGGAAGAAGTCTGACTAACTAGAATCAGTTAACATTTAGGGTCTGGTGACCCTTCCTCAAACGTTAACTCTGATTTTTATTTTCTTCCACAGATGCTGCCAGACCTGCTGAGCTTTTCCAGTAACTTCTGTTTTTGTTCCTGATTTACAGCAT